AACACAAAAGACAAAATGAGTGCATAAGCAAATATGGTTAAGAAAGCTAATGGTGCCTGGCTATCAAAAGATAGAGCACCTGGGGTCTTGGGCTTGAAGATAAACAAGCAGCCATTTAACTGAGAAGCAACAAGCCCACATGGACAAAGCACAACAGCTTGTATGATCATGAGGTGTCTATAAAGGATCAGGTATAAGGCATGAAAAACCCAGAACAAAAAAATCATATCCATGTGAATGAGGGGAAGTGCAGAGTGAGGACCCAAAGCCTATCTGTGGGCATTTGGACATCCCCTTATAGAAGGGTCACGGGGAGGAGACAGGTCAGTCAGGGTGCAGTATAGCACCGATGAAACATACATTTCTTCTAGTTCTTGAATGCTTCCTTTCCCCCATGATCATGACCCCAATCTACCTGACAAATCTGGCTAGACCAGAGCATGTACATGGGTACAAATAAGAGCTTGAAACACAGGGAATCCAGGACAGATAAACCCTTCAGGCCCAATATTGAGAGCAGTCATACCAGGAGGGTAAGGGAAAGGTGGAGGGAGAAAGGGAGAACTGATCACAGAGATCTAATATGTCCCCATCCCAGGGGGATGGACAACAGAAAAGTGGGTAAAGGGAGACAGCAGTCACTGTAAGGCATGAAAAAAAGTATAAATTATCAAGGGTTCATGAAGTAGTGTGGGAGAGGGAGGGGAAAAACTGAGGAGCTGATACCAAGTGCTCAAGTAGAAAGAAAATGTTTTGAAAATGATGATGGCAATAAATGTACAAGTATGCTTGACACACTGGATGGATGGTTGGTTTATGATAAGAGTTGTTTAAGTCCCAAATAAAATGATTTATTAGAAAAAAATGTTTTTAAAAGGTGAAATGTCAATTGATCACAAACCTCATTCTGGAATCGTGAATTTCCCAAAGGGATGAAAATATCAACTCGTGCATTTGGAGTTTGTTCCACCAGTTCCGACTGTTAATTAACCTTTGTATTCAGAACTTCTGAAAAGATAGTGTAATAGTGTGAGACAAAAAAGGTCTGATTTGTGAGAGATGCCAGATAGTTTTGGCACCATGACAATGCACCTGCTCATGCAACCATCTCAGTGTGCCAGCTTTTGGGAAAAAACAGCACGCGTCTCTTGTTCCACACACCTTACTCACCTGATCTCACTCTATGTGACTTCTTTTTGTTTGGACAAATGCAGAGGGACATGAAAGGACAATGATTTGATGACATAAAAGAGGTGAAGATAAAAACAAGGGAGGTGTCAGTTACCCAAACAGATAAGTTTGAAAAATGTTTCCAAGAATGGAATCACAGATTTCACAAATGTGTAATAGAAAGTACTTTTAAGTGTAATGGAGAGTACTTTGAAGGTGATAAGGTTGTTTGTAAAAATATATAAATATATAGCTTTGAAAAAAAATCCTTTCTTGGGGGGGAGGGTGTACCACCTCCTATGCATATCTCTGTTCACTGCAGCATAATTCACAATGGCCACAAGCTGAGAACAGCTTAAATGCCCATCAATGGATCATGAATGGATAAACAAATTGTGGTACAATATACTACACAATACTACGCAACTACAAAGAATAATGAAGAGTCCAACAAGCATCTTACAGCATGAATGAACCTTGAGGATATTGTGGTGGGTGAAAGAAGTCAATCCCCAAAAGGCAAATATTATATGGTATCGCTGTTGTGCGATATTAATATATACAGAAAGTGATGCTTTCTTATGGATATTCTACGTGGAAGGAGTGGAGAGGGCTAATCACTTTCTAGATAGCAATTATGTGTAAAATTCTGAAACATATAGAATTTTATAGAAAATATTATAACCCAAAAATACGTGTGTGATTACATAGGAAGGCATGCCTGCATGCATATAGGAAGGCATATTGCAAAGACATGCATGCATATGTGTAGGTGTAGCTGTAGACATATGCCTACACTTATACATACATGTTTGTGTGTGCTGCATATGTGTGTGTGATTATATTTATAATAATGCCCCAAAGGGGCACAGTTTGGAGACTTTCTAGACATATCCAAACACTTTATGGATTGATTTACTGGGTTAAAAGGCTTAGGACCACAGTCTTGTTAAAGGTCAATTGACATAACATGATTCATAAAGATAGTTTCTATATCTTAGTTTGTTAAGTAGTAGTCTGGCATCTAAATTGCTACCAAGTGGTCATCTATGAGAGAACTTTTGGTCTCTACTCGTCTGGAGCTAAAGACCCAGAGAAGAAACGTGTGCACAGGACAATGGTCCACACAAATCCCGACGTCTTCTGACGTGAAAGCAGAAGAACCAGATGGTGGCAGGCTGCCGACCACTACAGACCATTCCAACCAGGTGGACAGTAGAATGTCCTGGGTGGAATTGGAGAAAAATGTAGAACTAAATCCAAAATCCGCCCCAACCCCGCCACAAAATATGACTTACTGGGCTGAAATGGATTAGAGGAACCCCTAAGATTCTCCCTGTAAGAAGCCCTTGGGTGTGGAACCGAAACTGCTCCGGGAGGCCACCAGTCAATAACTGTTTGGGTTTATAAAATAAACAGTATCACCCACGAGTCATTTGCTCTTTCAAACAATGGACAACATGAGACCAAATGGCCCCCACTGACCCCAAAGCAAAGAGGAGAAGGCAAGGAGGAGGAGGGAAGTTGGATATTTGGAAACAAGACAAATAGAATGAAAGTACTCAGAATGCCGACACATGGTGAACAGTGTAACTAATGCCAGGGACCCATTCAGATTATAAACTGTTAAAGGGGAACCAAGTTTGCGATGTAAACTTTCATCTAAAACACAACGAAATACTTAATAACAATGGAAGAATATACTTACCATCTATCATGCATTGTGTGCTAGGCCTCCTGTATATGTTATTTAATTTAACTATCCCAACATCCTATGGGCTGCATATTGCAAGGGTGATTTTTTAGTTGAGGGACACAAAAGTATGAGAGTTAAATTACTTGCTAAAAAAGTTTCCATACACCTGAGTTCCATGGACGCTATCTTTAATTGCAAATAAAACTTGTGATTAGCAGTCGGACACTTACCCAACAGTGCAGCAGGGGCTCCTTAATTGCAAATAGCCATCTTTAAATGTGGGCTAAATGCTTCCTTAAAATTGCTTTGGAAATTCCGAATGGAATCTTCAGAGGAAAATAATAGGAAAACAAACAAACACAAAGAATGCAATTGTATTAGCAACTAAGTATTTAGTGTTTATTTTACAAGGTTTTAAAAAGATCTTTTATTCTGTATTCTTTAAATGCCATGCTATCTCACTTAGTGAATGTGTGGAGAATTAAAGTTTCTTTTAACGATATATGCCCAGAAAGAAAATGTGCACTGTGATATAAGCACATGCAAATCTCTCCATGTTGCAATGTGTTTCTGAAAATAAAATCTTAAATCCTCAGTCACTGAGCTATGAACTTTGATATTTTCTGTTTCATTTGATGCAACAATTCTGGTCATAACCCACCATATTAATTTCATGAGATGCTTTCTCAGTAATGGGCCCAAACTCACAGTTTGAAGAACCCTAGGGTGTGAAAGGAATGTTTGACTAAGAATAAGAAGTTGAGAACTTTGCTAGCTCCATTCTTTGATTGGAATTGAAAACTTTGTTTTACCTGAAAACCAAGTTGATGAAATTAGAATTGCGTCATCTCCAGGGCTCTTTCTGTTTCAGTTTATTCTCAGAGATTTTCCACCTTCATATGGGTAATTTCTCCCCATCATGTAATCAAGAAAGGCATTAACTTTATTTTTGCTTTGTGCTGCACTGGAAGCCCCACACCATACCTTCCAGCACTCCCCTCCTCTGCATCACCCACTCCCGAGAGATGAGAGCCATCAGCTGCTTGGCCCAGGGGCCTGATACATTCATGGCTTTTATTTGGACGATGGGTCCCGGCAACTATGCAGGCTTACAATCTTCAAGGATTACAATCTTCAAGGTCCACCCTTTAGCAACCTAACCTTGTAGAATTCAAACTAGTAGACAGTATTAACAGTGACATCTGCATGTCTATAATGCCCACTCCACCACACTGAGAAGCTATAGTAGATTTACTTTGAATTTAAGACAAGCTTTTTTGTATTTGGAAATGGAAGCTTTTTATACTATTTTGGGGCAACTGAAAGCTGAAAAAGAGAAAATGAAATTTCCCACTTCATTTTAGCGACAGTTTACAGAGCAATACATTAATGTGTAGAGAGAAATCTTTCTGTAATTCTAATGCCAAAATGATTTAGAAAATAAAGATATCATAGTAAATTTCTTTTGAATAAAAAATATATGATCTGTACCGTGGGTATGCACACAGTAAAATACACACGTGCCCACGCACAACCACAAAACTCTACCCAAGCTGATGTTCATGCACAAGGAGTCCCAAATCGCGAAGTGTGGATAGCAAAGCAAATGCTGGACTTAATGCTAAAAAGACTGCAAGATATTTCCATTTTTCCACTGACAGGTCTCTAAGACAGGGCATATGTCTCAGGAGACAGCCAGTATACCCCAAAGCAGGACCAACTTGCACTTACCTTCTCCACCGGAGAAAAAGATGTTTTAAGCTTGTTTCCATTACATTACACACTGCATACACTGTGGAGCACCATGGTTGTTTTGTTTTGTTTTGAATAACCCTGGGCGCCATGACCAATGTTGTTAATAGATAGAAACCACAAAGTATTATTAGTATCATTATCTCCATGAATTAAAATTAGGGACAAGATTTAAGCACAAAAAACTAGTCTGAGATCTATTAAGGTAGCATTCAGTACTTTTGTTCAAAGACTTTGGACAAAGCACAGGGTACTCCTTAAGAAATGCCTGAGTGAGTTCAGTACATCTGAGAGCATTTGGCAGCCTGTATAAAAATAGTTGTTAAAATCTGGGGAAACATCTAAATCTTAATCTGATGTAATAACATAGAAGCCACCAAAAAACGTTTCGTACTTTTATTGAGTCTTCTTCAGATTTAATTATCTACTGTAAGTACAATTCCAGTGACCAAGATTATACTGAGACTCTGCTATTACTCTAAGACTGATACAAAGTTGGTCACCATGCCTTACACACACACACACACACACACACACATTTTTGCACACTGCTGCATGCAAACTCTACACGATCATAGGAAATGGACATTCTTTTTTCTTAAAAGCACATTTAAGCACAAAAGTCTGGATTTTTTTAAACTACCGCCAATGTAGATAAACCTGAGAAAGCTCAAAAGGTCAAGTAACACTGTTTCCAAACTGCTCATCCAATGGTGCTATTAATCACAAAGATCTATTTTAATTTTTATCGATTACAATCACAAATATAAAAATAAACATTTCTGCCAAAGCACTAGAACATACTATAATTCAAATTCACAAATGTAGATATATAACATATATTCCCCTTCATATTCACTTTTGATGATACATATAATATACTGTACAACAGAATTTTTAAATTTTTAACAGAATTCAGCAGCCACATAATATATGTACAGTTATCACTATACAACTTTGAATTAAAATTATCAAATAAAAAAACCTATGGAAATTAATAGCCATGTTGAATTTGCTAGTGTGCTACTTAGAAATTTCTACTCCAAGAAATGAAGACCATGTGATTTGACCTGGAAAAGCACAACACCAAAATGTAAGCAGAACTCAGCAGCAGTAGATGCTTCACCAGCTGCCTCTTTCTTATCCTATCTCCTATCTAAATTCAAATGTATCTGTAATGCCCACTCCACCAGACTTTCAAAACATAATAAAACGACTTTTGAATTTAAGACGTGATCTATGCATTTGGAAATGGAAGCTGTGCCATATTTGGAGGCAAAATTTAAACCTCCTGACAGAAGAGTATAAACTTTTCTGTAATATCATATAAAATGTAGACAATGCAGGCCTCTTTGCACTTACTAATTATCTTATGCTGGTTTGGCAATGAATTGCTCCTATATAGAAAGAACCCTAATCAAACAGCTAAACATGCAAAAATATTTCTAAGAAAAAGTGATTTATTTGTATGACATCTGTTGATTTTCATAGCTGAGACCCACCCACCCCCAAAATCTGAAGACTTTGAGCATTTCAAGATGCTGAAATTTTAACAGCATCACAACATACAATTCTCATTTTATCTATGAATCATATATACAACATTGTGACACATATTATACACTATAATAAATATAATTTACATGAAGTATGTTGGATCATTCAATAAAATTTTTCATTATGTACAGTGAAGGACTGTGATCTTCACCAATAAATATTATGATAGTTACAGTTTGACCAGCAAAGTTAAAGCTTCAAAAGATCTGCAATTAGTAGTACACCTTTAAGCACTGCCACTAGTTCAACTGCAGCTGCTGCAAGTACTGGCCGCTTTGGTATCCAAAGGCAGTTCAGATTCTGTCCGAAGCAGTCCAAGTAAAGAGAGGCTTATGGGTCATGGATACATGTCCCAGTTGCTGACCTCATAAGGATTTTGACTGAAGAGTTCTGGAAAAGAGCAGATCTCAGAACCTCTATCTGTCTTATTTTTTGGTGCTTTACCATAACTTCTAAAGTCCCAACCAATGATGTCATGCAATCTTCTTAATCCATGCAGAGAGGTCTGGAGGCAAGAGTCTCATAGTTGGCTGAATGGTAATATCCTGGGTTTTAACTCCAAATCCTGACTCATGCCATATCTCTTTTAAGTTTCTTTTTTCTTATCATTTCAATGTAAACTCAAAGGATGTTCAAAGAATCAAAGAGGAAAATTTTTTGAGTCATCGAAAACCTTGAATTTTGAGTTAAATATTTTTTTCAGGGCAAAATTTTGTTAAATGATAAATTCTAAACTTTGCACTGCTCTTTCCTCCAAAGATTTTGCCCTTACTATTAACACACTTATTTATAACACTATATGGCATGAATCAGCTTTTCAACTCAAACGATCACCATTTCCCCCTGAACCTCTGAATGTTTCCATCATCAGTGCAAGACTCTTTCCAGAGACCTCTTTTAGCTTGGAAGGGGTCAGGGAGACCATTTTTGTTACTCCTTGGTTATCATTCATGTCATTGCTCTCTAATGTAATGCAAGGGACTAGGGAAAAAACACTTCAAGGAGAAACACAGCATTTCTAGTCATTGTCTAAGGTGCCTTCTCTCTGGATCCACACTCCTAAAGAAGGATCCACACTCCTAAAGAAGACGGCTCTCCGGAAGGTGAAGCAATGTACTAACACAGACTCGTGCTCTAAATCAGGCTGAGCATCCTGAGACCTAAAAGGAAGAAAACTAAAGTAAATGTGGAAAAAAAAAAAGAGAAAGAAAAGAAATGTGCACCATTAACCTGAACATTTAAGTATGGCATAGGCTTTGAAATGACCATTTGGTCTGTTTAGTGACATTGATCTTAACCCACTGGGCATGATGTTTGACAGGGTCACAATAGTAAGGACATTATTTTAGGCCATGTCTTTCACAACACTACAACAGACAATGCTGTTTGAGCGCAAGGAAGTGAGACCCTAGCTAATTCTTCCTTTCCCCCCAATGAGGAGGTGTAGTGGGACACTTCTATTCTGCAAAGGTTTCTATAGTTCTCTGCAACAAGAAGAAACCGGTTAATAAGAATGACTGCTCAGGAAGGCTACACAGTTATTCTTTACTGATTTTAATAGCTGGAGATTGGGTAAACTGAGGCAGCCCGAAGAATTAACTGAAGGTCTCACACATTTTCATTTAAACTACATGATGCAAGGACTCAAATTAACCCTCACTTTCACAGGACATGAAGGTCCTTGCTTAATTAGCATATTGGTCCATATTACTTTATTTATCAAGTGCTCTCAAACCATGCAGTGTATACATTACTCCACCACCAATTCCAGAGTCTTATGTTGGCTTTGCTTGTACTAGTTTTCCCAACTAACAGTTTTTTTTTTACACTGCTTGGGGTATTACTTATGTTACCTCACATAATCATTGTGCTATATATAAACTGTGACTACTTCAAAGGCTAAATGTGCAGCAATATTTGTTGAAAGTTTTTATAAAAATGCTATCGTATTTCCCAGACTTAAAAAAAATTACTGTCAGAGAAATGATAAAGTAAAACACTGATCAATAGTCTCCTCTTTCAACACAGTAAGTAGCCCCTCTCAATTTCCACCTTGAGCTTTCCTCAAGTACTCAAATACTTCCTACTTCTCTTTCCCACGTTTGTCTCCTTTATTTTTTTAGATGAGATATAAAATCCATTAAGAATTGTAATGGTTCAACTTATCAGCACAACCTCTAGTCTTCAGCGGACTTCTCCATCTTCTTTACACATTATATTTAATGCTGTCAAACAAAGCAAAACAGAGCGTTTTGCATACTAATTTCAATTTAAACTAGGGTCCTCAGTTTTAAATGCCTTTCCCATCCCCTTTTGATATTTGAGAACGTGTGTGAAGGCTGTGCTTTATGAATGACTGTCAACCACGCCCCCTCAGGTTCTATAGGTATCTTCACGTCTCAAAAGTTTGGCTCACGACTCTTTGCTTCCAGGAAAGAACTACGTTAGTGGCTGTATTTGCTAATTAGAAAAAATCTGAAGAATATTTTTACTTTATGAAAACAAGGTACAAAGCAAAGGTGGAGTTCTGCATTTGTCTAGCAGGAAGTTGGTAAGAAAGCAGAGCACCCTCCTTCCAAGCAGTGCATTCCCAAGCTCCTTGCCCTGGCCCTGCACCCTTACTGTCCGATCTCAGCTGCCGTACCTTTGAACTCTTTGGACACTATATGCTATTGCTATTTCAAGTTCCATGTATTATCTGGTATGAGTTAGTAGATATTTTGTGGCCTAGAGAGGCTTCAACATATTTACCATATATATTAATGTTAAGTGCTTCTTCATGTTATTTTGTCTTATGAAAGGTTTCTTAGGGAACACTGTTCTCTGGGATGGCAGGTAACCTGCATTAGCTTCCTGCTGAGCATCTTGTCAACCAACTAAACCATTCCACTCTGATTAAACTTTGTTCTGTACTTCATCTGTGATTTCAAAAATTGTTTTTACAGATGTGAATGAGCACTTATCCCGGAACATAAACAAACTCCTACGGCAGTTCACAGCAGTGGTGTAAGTAAATACCCTTTATCACAGGAAGTTTAAGAGAGTTCATGGTGTTTACAAGGAAAATACATGCACTTGGGTTATTTTGAATGCATGTTTTCAGGAAAATAATTAATGTGGGTATCCACCTTCAAACATTTGGTACTCCAAAATACAGAGAGTTTTCCAGAAACAACGAGGGAATGTTCACATTTCCAGGCTTTGAATGTGTAAGTTAACTCAATTCCCCAGAGAAGCTCAGTCAACTCCAACCTTAGCCTTATAAGACCCCTAAACAGAAAGCCAGCTCAGAAATCTCTGTGCCCTGCTGAGTAAGCTGAGCTAAATAGCTTGTTACACTGCACGCCAGCTTTTTGAAAACGCAGAGCTTCAACCTGTTTCTAGTGGATCCCCACAAACAATAAGGTCAGAGGAACCACAAACTAGTTTCAAGTGGTCAGATTTTTTGCTTTTTGCTTTGCCTGTTTGAGAAGTTAATAGTATCGGATTGCTACAATATTCATGAGCACACATGCTTTAAACGATTGGGTGGAGATATAAAGAGAAGTGTGTAAATTTTAAAGGAAGATTAAAAGGTAAATGTTTAACTAGGACAGTATTATTTTATGGTCCACACTTCTAGCTAGAAAGGAGTCCTTAAAAGCAAACCCGAACAAGCTTTGATGTGGATGTGGGTATTTCTAGTCCAGTCTCCCTCCCCATTTAAAAATATCTTAGGCTGAATTTCTTCTAATCTTCCTAAGAACTTAAGGGGGGAAATTCACTTGACACTATTGGCGCATCCTACCATGTCACAAGAGAGAGATCTGGAGTGTTCTTCTGCCTTCATAAGCTTGTGTCTCCATTCTGCTTGAACTCAGATAAAATATTGAGCGTCATATCTTCACTCTTGGACTGCAAATTCGCCTCACTTCTTCTGGAAGCTTTCCTGGTGGCCCGGGAGAGTCTCCTTCTGAAAGTATCTCCGGCCAAGAAATAAAGAATAGGGTCCACACAGCTGTTGAGACTGGCCAGACCTCTCGTGACCTGATAGGTGGCATACACGCGGTCGTTGAAGGCGCACATTTCTCGGGTTTGAAAATCCAGGCGGGCCCTCAAGTTCATCGTTTTCATCACATGGAAAGGGATGTAAGACACGGCAAAAACGGTCAGTACAATAATCACCAGGTAAATGGATTTCCTCCGGAGAGGCGAGTTGTCCAGGTCCTTGTAAATCAAAGCTTTCACAATTAAGCCATAACAGCCCAAAATCAGCACCAAGGGGACACAGAACATGGCTACGGTCGTGCACATGCTGTAGATGAAATAGCTTCTCAGGTATTCGTCCGAGGTGGTGTCATAGCAGGTGGTTTTGTTTTTCCGTGGCCCCGTGCCAGAGTAGAAGAGGATGGGGGAGATGCCCACCACCACGGTGAGCCACACCAGCACGCTGACATAGACTGCGTTCTTCTTCTTGAGCCTGCCCAGCGACTTGAGGGGATAGACCACCCCGCTGTAGCGGTGCACACTGATGCAGGTTAGGAACAAGATGCTGCCGTAGAGGTTCACGTGGAAGATGAACCTCTGCAGTTTGCACATGGCGTCCCCGAAGATCCAGTCTGTCTTGTTGAAGTAGTAGAAGATAAGGGCGGGCAGTGTCAGCACGTACAAAAAGTCGGCCAGGGCCAAGTTGAACATGTACACGGAAATGCCGCTCCAGGGCTTCATGTGGAAGACGAACATCCAGATGGCCACGCTGTTGCCCAGGAAGCCGACGATGAACACCAGGATGTAGACTGCCGGGAGGTAGTAGAACTGGAAGCCGGTCTTGGTCAGGGAACATCTGTACGAGGGCACGGCGGCCGCGGCGGTGGAGGCCAGCGTGCCATTCCCCCAGGGCGAGCCGAGTCCCACCAGGAAGGCGTCCGTCCCATTGGGGACCGCCGGCCACAGGACCTCGGTCATCTCCTCCCCTACTTAGGCGGCGGTTCCTAGAGGCAAGTGGCAGCGAGCAAGCG